CACCAATAGTAAGGAGGCATATCACATGTCCCAAAAGGATGAAGAGACTGCACTAATTGAGACCGAATGTAAAAAGAACCTGGGTATGCGTGTGTTGACAATGAACTTAACGAAATTTGTAGGTCTTATAAGAAGGTCACTTAGATATCTGGATGGTCTGTCACTCGTCACAATCTTCAAGAGTGAGGTGCTTCCCTGTCTTGTACCCGAGGTATGCTAGAGATGGTCAATTGATTGAAAATGTCCAAAGACAGGCCACTAGACTGGTGCCTGCTTTACAGAACCTCAGTCACCCAGAGAGATTGGAGTGCCTGCACCTACAGTCTCTCCTCGACTTACGAACACCCGGACATACGACGGCAATGGTCATATAAAATATTTTTCACATTACGTATTTTCGAGTCCCGACGTTAGTGATCTCGCTGTGTACTAACAAAATTTTCGTTTGTAGTTCCCTTTAAAATGGCTGGCAAGCATAAAAGTGAGAGTTCTCGTGGTGCTGAGAAGAAAGAGACACCCATTTTAGAATTTCTATGTATTATTTTCGCCTTTTCAACTTACGACCTGGTCGTCAGGACAGAACCCCGTCATGAGTCGAGGAAAGACTGTACTAAGCTTATACTACAGACGGGCGAGGGGAGACCTAATCGAAGTGTATAAACATCTCAGGGGGCACTACTCGGTCGAATGTACATACTGTACCTGGAGCTGGCAGACATCCTCCCCACAAGGGGCCACAGCTCAAGGTTGAAGAAGCCACAAGTCCAGAAAACTGTGAGGGCAAATTTTTTCAGAATGAGAATTGTGAACTCTTGGAACAATTTGCCAGAGAGCGTTGTGACGGCACCAAGTGTGAGATCATTCAAGGCCAGACTTAACCAACACTGGAGCAGGTTTCGATATACCCTGTATTCAGGACCCGGTGCATGCCCAAGCGGCTAACGAGTCGATCAGTGGTGAAGATGATAAAAGTACATAAAAAAAAAAAAAATTGGTTATGGTAAATCATACAAAATAATAGGCATTCTTGCAAGAAAATTCAAATCCGATATGTCCATGTGATAATGAAAAGCACCAGGAAAACTTATAATATGTAGGTATGTGACAAAATGTAAAAATGACAAATGGTCATCACAAAATGTGTCAAAATACTGATACTGTATTGTCATGTGTCAAGCGTGTCAAAGTACAGTATTGATTTGTATTTATTTAGCCTACAGGCATGTGTCAAAAATGCTGAGGAGCTGTGTCACCCCTTCACATCCTGGTTATCTTATACACTATCTGGTAATGTTATGAACTACTTGGTAGTGTTGTAGTGGATTTCTCCCCTACAAACGCTGTTTGTCGCTGGGTAGCCGACCCCGCAAATTCCCCAGTGTATGCCTCGTGGTCTAGGTCAACCAGCGCCGCCTTACATGACGGAGGTCAACTACTAAGCCACGCCTACCTCCGCTATTTAAGACCTGACCTCGTGGTGACCACCCTCTCTTTCTAGCTACAGCCGCAGCAACCAACACCACTTCCTCCGCCGCTGCCTGGCGGCCCTCGCTCCCGCCGGCGAGCATGGCAACCCACAAGCTTGTCCTCCTCTGAGCATCCTCGCCAACCAGCTCTCTCCACATCACGCTTGTAACCACGCTGCCACTTCCCAGCACCAAGCTGCATTGTATATCCAATACAACATGTATACAGAGAGCACATTGTGAGTTTCCTTTCTCCATCCCATTCTGAGTGTGAACCCCAAACAACTCATACCCCACAGTGTCATTCACTATCTGCTGGTGTTGTACACGAGGAAGACGCCAAGTGAGGTGAGGTAGGATGGTGGCGAGTTCTTTTGGTTGGGGGAGGAGTAGAGTCCGTCAGGTTGAATAGCCTGGTGTTTGCATTGGACAAACAGTTCTACCTGGTCAAACACGACTTAGCCGGAGCACTGCTCTCTCTCCCTCTCCTGTTCCACCATTCTCTGTATCTAGTCATATTTTTCTTTGTATGTTTCTCATCAATTTCTCTCTTATTCTGCCTGCCTGTCTCACTTGCTGCGTCTTTCAATCTTTATCCACCTTCGTTTGAATCTTATTGAATTTCTCTCCTTCGATTCCATCTACTCATTAATACAATGTTATTTGTTGTTTTATATAAGAAAGCCAAATAAAAAGTTTAAATGGTGAGCGATTGCCATTTCTCAAGTAAATTACCTTACATCATGTCGTCAGCTCACACTCACAGGAACATGACTGCTATATTGTCATTAACTATTAATACAGTCTACATTATATATCCCTATAGAATTTGAGTTAGATTAGTTAAGATTGGTTGGGTATCACTTAACGTAACCAAAGTTAATGTAAAGTAAACTGACAATGCATCAGAATTTGCAAAAGGCTGGAGCTGTGGGGATTTCGTCTATTTAGTTTATAATTTTGGTCGTGGGATTTTGCTACAGCGCAGGGGCAGATCCAAGTAGTAGTGGCAGAGCCGGAGGGGACCACAGCGAGCCCACCCAGCTGGGGGAGCGCTGCAAGACCCCCACCCCCCCGATTTTTTTTTAAATCTGACTAGTATCGTGGTCATTTTGAAGCCATGTGCACTTAACATTAGGAGATATTCTGAGATCAATAGTAATTGCTTTTTACTAAACATAACGCCTGTGTACAATACTGCAGTGAGGATTTTATCCACCGGTTTTATCTGTGCACCCATCATGCCATGGTGGATGTAGGCACACAAATACGCATATCTAAAAGAGACAACAAAGTTTAAAAGAAATTAAGAAGACAGGTCCAAAAATTGTGAGATGGAGAGCAGGGAAGGATTGGGACAAAAAAACGGGAAGCTGCACGAATCATCAATGAATGAAAACCACAGCAGGGAAGATAACATTGACTGTGTACGTGATGATCTGGGCACACTGTATTTGTCAGTATCCACCAGTGTGTGTGTGTGTGTGTATCTGTGTGCCAGTCAGGTGTTTACATCACAAGCAGAAAGGTTCTCACCCTCCTGGGGAAGACGGTGGTGTACTAGGTGGCATAAAACGAATCTACCAAACACACACACACACACACATATATATATATATATATATATATATATATATATATATATATATATATATATATATATATATATATTATATATATATATATATATATATATATATATATATATATTATATATATATATATATATATATATATATATATATATATATATATATAATTATATATATGAACAATAATCATCCCATGGATTGGGAAAACAGCTTAGATGTGTACAAATCATGTCACAGAAAGACTTCTGGTTGAAGCTAGTTTGATTAGGGAATTGAATTCTACAAACCTTAGTGATGGTCAGTACAAAACTGATAATATGTTTCACAAATTTATTTGTCAGTGGACCAAGGTTAAAAATGCTTTGAAAGCATTGGCGTTAGATGTAGGATAGATGATTAGTGGGTCTCATAGTTTTGACCTGACTTAACTTGACTAGTCACGTCGCCCTTTCTCTTAAGCTCCTTTGCGTGTGTGGTGGTGTTGGTGTGCGGATTAGTGGATGTCATGTTTATGACCTAACCTCATGTTTAGTAAGGTCACCCTGTGTACTTAAGCCTCTCTCGGTCCATGTAATTCAGTTGCCTCTGATGATGTCTTGAATAAAGACGAAAGCTAAGGTGCTCCGTTGTTTCCCTTTTCCCGTGTGATTTTATCAAGATTTATCTTATCCACGTTTTCATCGTGGATCTACATGAAATATATATATATATATATATATATATATATATATATATATATATATATATATATATATATATATATATATATATATATATATATGCAAGTAAATCACTGTCGGTGCACGTGATCCATGTACAGTATATGCTGATAACCACAAGGAAACAAAAAACCACTAAGTTCCCAAGCACTTTCGTGTAATTCACATCTTCAGGGGTGAGTACGGACTAAGGAGAAATACTTGACAAGGCTAATATATACAGTAGAGAAGAGTGAGATCAAGTCCCTAGGGGACAGCAAGGGTCCACAATATTCCGGTCAAGGGAGTCCAGTGGGTAGAACGGTACCGCTCTTGCCTCGCAAGCGAGATGTTATGGGTTCGATTCCCGGGCCGGTGGAAAGTTGTTCGGACACACTTCCCAGCCTCCCTTGGTCCCTGTTCATCTTGCAGCAAAGTAGGCACCTGCTGTAAATCGAAAGTTGCGAATTCGTATTCAGGGACAAGTTGTTGGAGTTTCCAATAACTTGCTTAGACATAAACCATTGACTCTTCAGGCTTCTACGCCCTTAACTCATGAGACATAAAAGGCAAGCATGAACTTAGCATGCTTCCCTATTTGGAGCTGTAAACGCTTCTGCGCTTCACCTTACACAAGGATGTAGGGGGGTGCCCAATAAATAATAATAAAAAAAAATGTTCCGGTCATAAGGCAGTGGCCCTTACTAATCGGCAAAGGAATTTAAAACGTAGTATTGAAAGATTTTCTTATAAATAAGGTAGTTAATATTTAATTGCATACACCAACAGGCGGTCCTTTCCGCGCACACACATTCCAGCAAGTACCTAAACGAAGAGGCACATGACCGTGCACACATTCACCACATACGTGCCGTGAAGTGTAAAAAAAACAGACACCCAGACTAGGAAACTGACGCGCACATACATGTTCCAACAATGAACGTTCTGGTTCATATAGGCTGGGGTGAGTGTCTCATTGAGGAGTGTGTGTGTTAGTCCAGAGTCATGATGTGGGCACACAATCCCTCCCTTTTATTAACTCTTCCCATTTTCACACCAGCAAGACTTCAGGGCTTACTATAAAAGGATTACAGCATGACTGCATAACCATATACATATGTTATTAAATGTTCTCGAAGCGAAAAGCCTTTTGCAGTCTTAATTTAGATATCTGGCGGAGCTTGGCAGCGACAGGTGAGCAGAGGTCGGTGGCCGCTCTCAGGTACATACATAAGGAGGAACAAACATGTCCCACCGCGACACCTGCTGCAAGGGGTGTACAGGCAACACCTCACTCCTCACTACACACCGGAGCTGCCCACATCAGTGCTTTGCAACTAGAAACTAATCAACGTCATCATGTGAAAACTAAGCCTACTGGTACAGTACTGTATAGCTAAAAACAATGGACAAGTGTCATCATACCGTACAGCTTAATCAACATACTGTATTAAAAATCAAGCACAGTAGAAAAAGCAGCAACTGAAACTGAACATATAATGTAGTGAGTCAAGCCAAAGGCTTGGTTTCTCAAGTAACATACCATACATATCCTTTGGGTGTAAATATCAAGCTAAGAATATTGTTGCATGTGTCTACAGTTACCACATGTGCGATATATACGAGATGGACTAAGGTATGCACAATAATCTCCCAGTGGGTATCATTTTTCAGTAATAAATACCTTGCCACACGACGAATGACACAAGTGATTCCTTGGACTCTCAACACCGTACAAGAGTTGTGCTAAGGAAAAGCCTATGAACTCGATCGTAACGAAACCTGAGCTGAACAATGCACAGTACAAAGAAAGTGGGCATGTGGTGAAAGAGCAAATTATCAAAACATTACTACGGGAGTTCAGTAAAAGAAAAATCAAGGGAGAGTGTAGTTTAAGGTAATAACTATGACCACCAATCCTACCCTGAACCGTCTGGTGGTGATTTTCGGTGCGTTGCTGCTAACACAGGCTAGCTACGCCGCCCTGCACCACCACCGCTCCCAACACTTTTCCCAGGAGGTCCTTGACGATTACAACTACAGTGAAGAAGATATCGGAGACCTTGATCCAGAGGTGAGGGAGACTCAATTAAGGATTACCACGAATTACGGCACAAAATCCTATCTAACTTAACCTAAATTAGAGTACAGGTACTGTAATCTAAGTTCAACTTTACCTTTACTAACCTTGAGGTGCGGCGGCCAAATGGATACAGCTCGTCTCTTGCCCGAAGGGTCGCTGGGGAAATGAAGGTTGCGTGCAGTGCCCAGTCACAGTACCTCCTGCACGTGTAACAAAGATGGCATACTGTAGTCTATAAAGTGCTGTACGCACACTTTCACACTAACCTTTGCAGGAATATATATATTTTTATAATTGTATGATTTTTTGTGTCCATTGCATAATTGATGAAATTTTACAATGTTCACTTTCATTCATGTACCGGTCTAGTGACAATAAGGTTCGCTTTGAATTACAAATCTTACACGTTTTAAAGAAGCATGTTGTACCTCAAAACCTTTTGACATTGTATTACATGTTTTACCCAAAACGTTGGTTGTATTCTATATGTTTTATCTTCAGGAAGTTTAAATCAAGCATGTTTCACTGTACCACATACGTTTAACGTATTATCTCTTACTGTACCCCAGATGTCGAAACGTTGCATGTATTACCGCCAACAGTTTAAATTTAGCATGGCTTACCTTCTAGAGTCTAGACGTTTTACCCGAGCATAATTTAACCCTAGACGTTATAATCTTGCATGTTTTATCCCCCAGAAGACTACAACAAACACTATCCATCTCCTAATTGTTGTATTCCACATTTTACACCAAAAGTTTCAGCAAAGCATGTTTTACTTTTGTTTTAACTTGGTATATTTCATCCCCAAACATCATGTTCATTGTTCACCATCAACATGACATTTTACCAGCGAACATTCTAATATAGGTTTTGGACGTTCTGAAATATAATTAGATCTTTACCTGACTTGATCCAAACGAAATGAAACAAGTTAGCCGCAGGTCTGGGGTACCTTGTTCCCACACAAAAAAAAAGACCCATATTTTCACATGAGGTAAAATACTGAGATCTTGTTGGGTTAAATCTACCTATCAAGTTTCATCAAGACCCATCTCCATAATACCGTATTCGGGTTTTTGCGTTCTAAGGATGACTGTACACACTGTACGGCACGGTGCTCCTGTGCTCACTAACTACAGATGGAGATGACGGTGGAGTCCGGGGTATCTCCATATGTTCGACTGTATATAGCTGTACGTATCATATTAGGTTTGTCTGGATGACCATAATAACGCATCACGCCACTTTTAAATCCCCGCGTCACTTTACATACGGAAAGTCTAGTCTAGGGCATTTTTCGTTGCTTAAACAAATTCACACTTGAAGAAATTACACCTGACAAATTCGCACTAGGTAAAATCTCACAAAACAAATAATAAAACAGACAATATTCCAATTGTTCAAGTTTCTATAATTTACTTTACTTTGTTCTCATATATTTGACATTTAAAGGTCCAATGCAACGAATATCTTGTAGGGGAGAGGATCCAGTACGCTACAATCTAACTGCGTATTGGGATATTTAACTGTACAAGGATATTTAATTTTGTACATTAGAGTACAGGCACGAAGATATAAACTCTACAATATTAATATATTCTTACTCTGATCAATATTAAGATATTCAACTTTATTACAGTATTCGGAATTTTGGTAATCCTAGAGCAGATGGCTAACACCAGAGGGAGTTCGATCTCGTTCTTTATTTTTCACAGATGTTCTTTGGTGGTAAGCAATGAAAACGATACGACAATGCACAGAACCTAATAGGAACCAGACCTAATCAACCAAAGAAACCGGTAAAATTTCAATTGTTGCCAATATACGAAGTCGAAGTTAAAACTGTTTTTTGATGTGCTATGAACAAATTTGACCTTCAGTTATGGCGCAAATCAATAGTTTCTTGAGATAAGCCCCCCCCCCCCATCTCAGAATCTAGAGATTTGCTAAAAAAAATCTAACTAAAGTGTTCAAAACACATCAAAAGCTATCGGAAAACAAAATCCTAACCAACCAAACCTAACCTAACTGGGGAGCTCCACAGTCATTCGATGTTCAGTGTACCACTATGTCGTACGATGTTCTGGGTGTGTACCTTCACGTACGAACATACATAATAAAATATCAAATATCTCGCCTATACGTAATTTGCGCAAGAAATGCCATTGAAGAAAAGTATCTTAGAATTGTCAAAATTACTGATTACAACTATAAAATTCCCGAGATTCGTTTAGTGGCAACAAGTGAAATAATACCATAATACTTACTTTGATACCTGGTACCAATGAAAGCAATTTTGTTGAAGCGGCTTGGTGTAATTTTACGTTTTTTTTTTTCCGGACGTGAGAGTACACTCGAACTGCGCGACCCGTTTGGTACGAGAGTAAACAGAGATGCCAACAGCTGATTTTTCAGACGAGTATTTACTGTAAATAATTAATCCCCTCCCCCCCCCTCGTACAAAGCACGTACAGTAGATACACCATTTTCGTGTCATATGATCAGTTTTTCACCGTGTTTTACCCCACAGTATCCTTCATACCATGCCTACTACAGGTGGTTTTTGATCGTAAAGAAACTAAAAGAGATACTTAATTAAAATAAAAAGTTGTATCGTATTTTAGTTTTAGTTTTTACGGGGATTAGCACACCCGGGCACAGGTCGCTGATCCACATCGGGGCCTAGGGGACGACAATATAATAATAATAATTTAGATAAGTAAAACTTATAATAAAAAATACACAAATATAAATAATAAAATGATAATAATAATAACAACACTGCAATAATAATAATAATAAAGAACCATAAAGAAATGCGTTCAAAAATTAAAAAAAAAAATCAAGAGCGAGAAACAATATATGTATGTTGTGTTGTCAATGGTAAGAGAAACAATTGAGACCCTGCAATTGTGTGTAAATGAGGCAGAAAGTCAGATCAGCAACCAAGGACTTGGTCACAATTTTTGTGATGCCATATGGCAGCAGGGTCTACCATTAGACAATATAATATGCTTCCAAAATCTTCCCAGGCGGTAGTACCTCCCTGTTTGGTAGCTGCGTACTACTTATTACCTACGTGCTATCATCCAAAGAACATCAATGGAAAAAATGAATGAAATCGATCAACTCCTGGTATTAGCCTGGTCCAGTATTACCAATATTTTTAACTGCTAAATATCCAGACACACGTGAGCAGGGTTATCCAGTGTAACCCTACCAAACATTACAGGTTTCCCTTGTTTCCTCCTGTACAAACACTGGATAGATCGGTATTTTTGCGTTTGCACATTCCACATTCCTACCACTTATCTATTGGCATATTCTAGTAAGACGTCTAATTATAAGATCATTTTCATCTATTACATTACCGTCGCAAATGTATAATCTTCCGCCATTATCGCCTCCCTCACCTCTCACACTGCGTGTTTCTTTCATAAATCATCACGAGCATGCGTTCCCGTACACGTCACGCGACCAATCAAAAGCGTTTTTTTGCAACCAATTAAAATGATTTGTGGTTTAATTTGCGGTATTTTTGGCCCAATCAAAATCGATTTTTATTTTGGGTCTCTCATATTTCCAAATTCAAATTAATTTCCCACCATGGAAGTCTGCGATGGGTGTCACTTCAATTACAGTATATGGAGCTGATTGCGAGTTTTTGGGGAAAAAACGAAGAAACTATAGCATTTTTTCGATCGCATGGTGTTCTTCCAACCTCAGTAAAGTGTTCTAAGTGCAAGACTGAATGTAAATATAGCAAAGACCAACATATGTGACGTTGTGTAAGAATCCCAGAATGCAACGATGAACAAGAACCAGGCCAATAAGGTAAGAAATAGGTTACTCCATCATATGGTGAGAGTCAGTAAGATTAGGTTTGGTTTTTCTAGTGTGTTTGGGTGTATTTTTTATTCGCTTAGCCATTAATTGTTTTCTAAAAGCGTTCCACGAAAAAAAATCGAAAAAAAACCCCGGCCAATTTCCGACGGAAAGTAAGGTCATATTCGGTCTAAACACACATAAATACACTAGAAAAATATATTTTTTACTTTCTAACAGAGTGGTAGGTGGAAGTGCAAATTTACCTCTTACCTTGAACTCTCAGTAGGAGGGGTTACATAAGCACGTTTCTTGGTGACTACTTGCCAATACAATGTTCGGTTTTTGTTTTGTTTTAATTTGATCAGATGAATATGTAGTATGAAGCTATCAACAGCTGTTTGGTAGGTACCCTGCCCCAATTTAATTCTCCCTCTAATAAGGAAGCTTCGGAATCCCAGGTCCAGGGTAATTTTGATTCATGTTTGAGGTTCCTAGGGAAGCTTCCAACGTCCACGTGTGGCTAATGTAAACAAACTTTAGCTTGCAGAAATCAAGATTCAATACATAACAATTATTTGTTTGCTAAATTATTGTCGTACTTTACATACATCAATGTTGTTAAAGTTTATCATGCATCAGTAAATAAATTCAAAATGTGTTTGGTTTAATTAAATAACGGTATTCGTTTGGTTATGATAGTCGAAGTCGGCAATGAATATCGAGCATACTCATTGCCGCAAAATTATTTGGTTTCGTGAAATATTGCCAACAATACAATGTCGGCACCACGAACTTATTTCACTGATACGGTTACCTCCAAAGTGCCATTTAACAATGAATCTTATTGCACTGAGGTGACATGACCTATTCACCTCAGTTCATTATTGAATTTTTAGTAGATTTTTATCGTCATTCCTCCTCTACCTACATTTTAAACTTGAACCTTTACTTGCAATGATACTTCTAAATAAGCTCGATCTGTTACAGACACGAAGTGGACTGTGTTTGCCAGATTGCACCCGTGATGGAGCCATTCGACTTGACAGGACCTCTTGCAACCACTACTTCATGTGCTCACTCTTGCACCATCAGCTGGTCCTCTTCAGGTGCTCCTGCCCCTATGCCACGCCTAAATTTAACAAATATCGCCAGAAATGCACCAGGGAGGCTCAATGTCGTGTCTCTTGCACTTCCCACGCCCATATCTTCACCAACTGGACTGCTGTGACTCACAAGGGCCACCAGTGCGTTGCTGCCTTACCTGAGCCTTCCATCACTATCACCATCACCAGCGCTACCCTTACCACCAGCATCACCCATTCTACTTTCACCAAACCTACAATGCATACCCACACCACACCAACAGTTGTATCCACACCTTATGAATCACAAGAAACCAACACACTTGCAACCATAGTCTCCTCTCTCACTACTTTAACATCAATTGTAGCTACCCTACTCACTAATGTCAACATAGAGTCCATGTTAATCCCACCTGCTACCCTTGCTACATCATCTCTAGTCACTGTTAATGCTACTACCATGCCACCCTTCCCTGGCACCATACCTACTACTACCATACAGTCCCCAAGTCCGTCACTCGCCAATGCCAACAATGATTCTGCAGTGACAGTGACTGCAGCTATCACCGATCCCTTCCTGGCTACCCTACTCAGCACCCCAACAGTGTCCAAAGTTACCTTACCTGCCACTAGCATCCTCTCCCCAGCTACCGTCACTACATCCCCTATCACCATACCTACTATAGTCACGCCAATTCCAGCATTCCTTCCCGATACTATCACCATACTGTCCTCAGTCACCATGCCCACCACTATCCCTACAACATCACCAAGTATCATCCCAGAGACATTGGTGCCACCCTTAAGCTGTGACAATGCACAATGTCTAACTGTCAACTCTCGTTTACATGACCCATACAACTGCAGTCGTTATTACAAGTGTATCTTCTCTGATGATCAGTTGATGGCCCGCCCCTACATCTGCCCGAGCACCATGCCCGTCTTCAGCCGCCTGCTCCAGATGTGTGTCACTGGAATAAAGTGTCGAGCTCCTTGTGCAGATGCACAAAATTCACCTCCCACCACCACTCCTCAGATAGGTGTCACAACAGATGAGACAACAGCATACCCTGAAACACCTGATATAGCATCTCATGATTCTCCTTCAGTTATTGTAACATCGGAGTCAGTTACAGGCAATGCAACATCTACTGGTGGTTCCTCATCACTGGAGACACTTACAGATGGAGGTACATCACTGGAGATAAACGAGGGATTTATAACATCTGAGTCAGCTACAGACGTAACAGTGTCACCTGACAACCCAACAGTTGTATCAACACCTGACACACCAACAGTTGAGCCGACATCTTCTGACACACCTATAGTTGTGCCAGCATCTTCTGACACACCTACAGTTGAACCAGCATCTTCTGACACACTTACAAATGTGCTAGCATCTTTTGACACACCTACAGTTGTGCCAGCATCTTCTGACACACCAACAGTTGTACCAGCATTTTTGGACGCACCAACAGTTGTACCAGCATCTTTTGACACACCTACAGTTGCACCAGCATCTTCTGACACACCTACAGTTGTGCCAGCATCTTCTGACACACCCACAGTTGTGCCAGCATCTTCTGACACACCTACAGTTGTACCAGCATCTTCTGACACACCTATAGTTGTACCAGCATCTTCTGACACACCAACAGTTGTACCAGCATCTTCTGACACACCTACAGTTGTACCAGCAACTTCTGACACACCTATAGTTGTGCCAGCATCTTCTGACACACCTATAGTTGTACCAGCATCTTCTGACACACCTACAGTTGTACCAGCAACTTCTGACACACCTACAGTTGTACCAGCAACTTCTGACACACCTACAGTTGTGCATCTTCTGACACACCTACAGTTGTACCCAACTTCTGACACACCTATAGTTGTGCCAGCATCTTCTGACACACCTACGGTTGTACCAGCAACTTCTACCTATAGTTGCCAGCATCTTACCTATAGTTGTACCAGCAACTTCTGACACACCTATAGTTGTGCCAGCATCTTCTGACACACCTATAGTTGTACCAGCATCTTCTGGCACCTAGCAGCACTTCTGACACACCTATGGTTGTACCCAGCATTTCTCTATGGTTGTGCCGGCATCTTCTGACACACCTATAGTTGTACCAGCATCTTCTGACACACCAACAGTTGTGCCAGCATCTTTTGACACACCAACAGTTGTACCAGCATCTTCTGACACACCTACAGTTGTGCCAGCATTTCGACACAACATTTGTACCAGCATCTTCTTACACACCTACAGTTGTGCCAGCATCTTCTGACACACCTACAGTTGTGCCAGCATCTTCTGACACACCTACAGTTGTGCCAGCATTTTCGGACGTACCAACAGTTGTACCAGCATCTTTTGACACACCTACAGTTGTGCCAGCATCTTCTGACACACCTACAGTTGTGCCAGCATCTTCTGACACACCTACAGTTGTGCCAGCATCTTCTGACACACATACAGTTGTACCAGCATCTTCTGACACACCTATAATTGTACCAGCATCTTCTGACACATTTATAGTTATGCCAGCATCTTCTGACACACCTTTAATTGTACCAGCATCTTCTTACACACCTACAGTTGTGCCAGCATCTTCTGACACACCTACAGTTGTGCCAGCATCTTCTGACACACCTACAGTTGTGCCAGCATCTTCTGACACACCTACAGTTGTGACACCATCTTCTGGCACACTTACTGTGTCAACATCTTCCAACGCAACTAATGAAACTTCAACAGCTGACACGCCTGCCACTCTTTCTGAAACAGCTATAATTATGTCTAACATTGGTTTTACATCTGAGATAACAACAGGCATTTCTTCGACATCTTCTCACACAACAAGCAACTCAACATCTGGCAAAGTAACAGAATCTTCTGAAACAAGCACTGATGCAGCACCTGACATGACTACAGAAAAAAAACAGCACCCTGACATGACTATAGAAACGTCAACATCTGGATCTGTGGCAGGCACCGCATCATCTGTCACACCACCATTACAGGAGTCATGCAACCTGCCCTGCACAGCACCAGAAATGAAGGTTGCAGATCCTTATAACTGCCATTACTTCTATGCATGCAGGTTCACCGAGGATCTCATGCCAATCCCTATCCGAGTCAAGTGTCCTCGCAGGCGACCCGTGTTTAGTGCTGTTTCCGGCACATGTGTGGCGGAGGGTCCGTGTGTGGTGAGGTGCCAATCCTCTGCCACCATCATCATACCTCCTCCACAATCCACCACCACCTTATCATCCATCTCCCTCTCCCAACACCCTACTCACCCAGAGTCTGTTGTAACCAATACAACAGTAACCACCCCAACACCCACCACACCAGACATCAATATTATGTTTAACATGACGACCACTACAGCTACCATCACTTCATCAGTGACTACTACAACAGAGTTTCTATATGACTGCCAACCGACTTGTCTGGTTGCTGATTCCTGGTTATCAGACCCTACAGATTGCCACTACTTTTATGTTTGTCACTTTATTAATGACGTGATATCCAAACCTCGGCGAATTAAATGCCCATATCATCTACCCATCTTCAGCCAACACCTTGGAAGATGCACTGCAGATGCTCCATGTGTTACTTCTTGCAATCATACAACAACTGTGAACATTGTGACACCAGTATCATCTGACTCACCCATCTGCCAACCAACTTGTGCCCTAGCAAACTCCCGGATGTCAGATCCCACTGATTGTCACCACTACTACATTTGCATCATTCTTGACAGTCTCATCCCCCAAGCAGTACGTACAAAGTGTCCGCAATCAAGACCCTACTTTGACCGTAGAAAGGGAGTATGTGTGCCTCAGTCGAGATGCATCATAACCTGCACTCAACAAGAAACTGTGTCTACACCTACAATTATGCCTCCAACTCCTGCCAATGTCTGTCATCCTGTCTGTATTAAACCAGAGACTGTAGTGACTGATCCGCTTGACTGCCATCATTATTATATCTGTTCAGCCAGTGGAGCACTGAATAGCCCAACTAGGATGAAGTGCCCATCACACCTTCCCATCTTCGACCAGGACACAAACAGTTGTTCCAAGGATGCTCCTTGTGTGGTAAACTGTCAAGCAAATTTTACTACCACTAGTGCCCTTGGTGTTGCTTCTGTCAGCAATACCATCACTGGTAGTATTACAACTGGCAATACAACCATTAGCAGTCCCATCACCAGTGTCACCACTTTAGCCCCCACCACTAACATCACCGCTTCATTCATCACTACCATCCCAAGTATCACCACTCCAGCTCCAATTTCTACTACCAGCAATACACTCAATACCACCAATACTTCTATTCTCATTGATGAAGTTACAACAAACAGCTCCTCCAGTACTCTAGCAGTTGGAATCAAACCCGAGCTATGTCGACCAAACTGCTCCTCACATAACACCGTACATCATGACCCACTGGACTGCCACCACTATTATGTATGCATGATCGTCAGTGGTAAACCTAACCTCACCAAGATCCAGTGTCCACAGCATCGGCCTGTTTTTCATCTGCCTACTTACAGCTGTCAAAGATCTGTGCCTTGCATCATAACTTGTGGGGATTCTGTTATCTTCCTCCCAGCCACTATAGCAAGCACTGGTACTGGTGCAGTTACCACAGAAAGCATTAACCCTGCCACAATCACCCTAGGAAGCACAAGCCCTACCACAGTGAACACCAGCCCCATCATAGTGAATACTACCCCTACCACAGTGAATACTACCACTACCACAGTAAACACCAGCCCCACCACAGTAAACACCAGCCCCATCACAGTGAACAACACCCCTGTCATAATCAGCAGCACAGAGGAGACACCAGGGAATAATGGTGTGAGGTGTAAGCCCGAGTGTGCACAGGCTGGAATACTGGTGGCAGACCTCACCAACTGTCAGCGGTACTATGTGTGTGTCTACGTAGACAGTCTGGCTCCTCGCCCTGTGCGTGCTGCCTGCCCACAAGCCACACCTGTGTTTGATACCACCAAGAGACGCTGTGTGGCTGAGGCACAGTGCTACCAGCCCTGTGCTGAGCAGTCTACATCTCTTGCACCAGCAGCACCTATTGGATCTTCTACCACATCTGTCACCACAACTGCAACTCCAGGAAGTTTATGTTCAGCAGTGTGTGAAGCAGGGGACAGGGTTCTCCCAGACCCTACTGACTGTCATTTCTACTACCTGTGTTCAGCCATCTACGGCCTACCAGGTGCTCTCCGTGTCCAGTGTCCTCCAGGACGCCCAGTGTTTGATGCTGATCAGTTAGTGTGTAGTAGCAGTGTTCTCTGTGATGTCCCTTGCCCAGCTGCTGCTAATCCACCTCCTCCTCCTAGCACGCATTCCCCATTCACTTCAACTCTTCCTTTTCCCCCTGCTGGTCCACCTGCCCCCATTACCTTCAGCCCTACTCATCCACCTGTCCCTGCCCACCCACCTGCTCCTATTACCTCCAACCTAACTCAGCTATCTATCACACCTGCCCCAGCTGACTCTCCTTCCTTTGACATCCCGCAGGAATGTCCACATGCTGGGTACTTTACAAGAAGCAAGGAGTGTAGTGACACCTTTATCCACTGCTATCAGGAGGGGGCAAGGCTGATGAGTGTGAGCAAAAGGTGTCCAGTAGATCTAGTATTCAACACAGTCTCCACCTACCCCTATTGTGTGCCTCCCACAAACTGCCCCTATGACCCAATCATCAATGGTACCTCTGTCAATGCCACTTCCTGCCTCCATCCTGGTAGTTTCCCCAAGTGTCTTCACTGCTGTCCAGACTTCATTCGCTGTGAGCCATCAGTCTATGGTCCTGGATACTACCCTGTGGCAGAGCGCTGCCCTCGGGACCTGGTGTTCAACACAGATCCAAGGTACCCCGTATGTATACAGCAGCGAGACTGTCCATCAGGAGGTTTACACACCAGCCAGTGTGTGGGTAAAGGTAACTACCCAGCATGCCCTGGTTGCTGCAAGAAATACTACCACTGCACTAAGGATGGTCGCCTTCAAACCAGGACCTGTGCCTTCTCTCTCATGTTCAACCCACACCCTGCTCACCCTTACTGTGTTCTTGCCTGGAACTGTCCATTTGTTCCTGCAGCATATGCTAGCCTTGTGACCACCCCACACCTGCCTGTAGCAGTCCTGCCCTGACTCACAGACAGCCCACACACCAACCAGTGTGAGGGCGAGAAAAACTACCCTGCATGCACAGGCTGTTGCAAGAACTACTACCGCTGTACCAAGGATGGTAACCTTCAACCCAGGACCTGTGCCTTCTCCCTCATGTTCAACCCACACCCTGTTCACCCTTACTGTGTCCTTGCCTGGAACTGTCCCTTTGTTCCTACAGCACTTGCAAGCTTCCTGACCTCCCCACACCTGGCACAATTGATCCAGTCATTTTCTCCCCAAACCTTGCCCAGCTGATCCAACCCTACCCTACTCTACCCTAATCTTACCTAGCAGTCAAAGCCCTGAATTACCTTAATCTTACCTATCTGACCAAACTCTAACCTACTCTAATCCTACTTACCTGATCCAGGCCGGAGTTACCAAGATCCTATCTTATTCCCTCACGACTACATACACAAATTGTCAGTTTTAGTGCTGACTTAACTATATAATTTTGCCTAATTATTGTCATAAGAATGTTGTAGACACCTGAGAGACAGTTCTTGATTTTATACTAACATTGTTTATACTGTATTGTTATTTGTTATTAAATGGAATAAACAAGCAAACAATTTTTTTCTTGATACTGATCCTTGAAATTTATTGTCTTAGAGAGAAAGAGAGAGGCTAAATCAAGGCTGTACAGTATAACCAATTAGATGAATGGTTTTCAGAAATTTATGATATAAAGCAAGTTGTTACAGACCCCTCTGGATACTGAGTGGCTGATTAAAACATGAGACAAGATGAGAAATTGTCATTTGTGATCATGTACAGTACAGTATCTCTCATAGCAAACTCTCACATAATCTTATCCCTGGCAGGGATGCAGACACTGTCATCAACACAGACTTCAGGGTTAATTACCAGTTGTTCTTACACATACAGTAAAAACCCCATAACTACCGGTATACACTTGTTAATTTGAATCGTTATACTGTACTGTAATTCGGATTTTGACTTAAACTAAATTTTTTAAAAATGAATTAAACGATTTGAATTAGGAATGAATCAGAAATAATCGAGCTGTTCCGAAAATTCGCTTTAGCTGCCACATACTGTAAAGTTATTCTATTTATAATTATTGTGCAAATATAAATATTTCTTAAATGTACATACAGTAATAATAAAGAAAACAATACAGTAATAAATAAGTGTAACACTTACATTGCGAGGTGAGCTGATAATATGTAGATGATATTCCGAAAGTATAACGGTACACTGGTAAAAACCCACATTGGAGAAATAAATGATAAAATCTAGGAGCTGGTATACTAAGACCCTCTTATCCAACAAAGCAAGGAAGAAAGACATAGAACAAAGAATTCAAGTCCCATGGTAAATGAGATTTGCACTCCACTAACATTCACATTCAGAAAATCCTTGGATCAAGGAAAAGCACCTGAGGACTGAAATTCAGCCAACATCACCCCAGTATACAAGAAGGGTAAGAAAAGTGCAGCAGAAAACTACAGGCCACTCAATCTAACATCCGATAAATACAAACTCTTTGAGCAAATTCTGAGAGACACCATACAACACCTGACCAAACAGTCTTATAAACACACCACAACACAGTTTCAAGGAAAGAATATACTGCTTGACAAACTTACTCACTTTCCTTGAAATGGTAACAGTCTACGTGGACCAAGGTTTACCAGTGAACATGTACATGGATTTCTCCAAGGCATGTGACAAAGCCCTACATGCACAGCTAACCTCTACGATTCAAGCACATGGAATCACAGACAAGGTTTTGAAGTGGATTAACAACTGGCTCGAGGACAGTCAACTAAGGGTGATCACAAATGGAGTACTGTACTTTCTGAATTAAAATAGGTTCTCAGTGGAGCATCAAAGGCATCTACATAATTGACATACCGGTAGGTGAAAATATATTGAGCCACATTGTCAAGTTTGTGGATGACAAAGATATTTAAGGTAGCAAGTCAAAACGATCTCACAACAATGCAGAAAGACCTGGACGAGCTGATCAAGTGGTCTCAAGACCGGCAAATGCTCTTTTACATTATGAAATGCATCACCCTACATGTAACATACAACCCGAATCAAAGCCATTGCGTTAATAACACTTTCCTGGATACTGTCAATAAAGGAGAAAGATCTTAGTGTTGTAATAGATCATTCCCTGAAGGTGGCGCACGGGTGAGAAAAGCAAACCGAGCTTTGGGAAAAATAAAGCGTGGAAAATGCTCCTTCAACATCCAAGCAGGTTGAAGGCCTCTGGACTAATAACTCTTCAGACAAGACACAATAGGGCATATCTCATTGAAACATTCAAAATCCTAAAAGAGATGGAAAATGTGAACCTGGGCCATTTCTTTGTGATGTCATGCACCACCAACACGAGGAGCCTAACCACAAGCTAGCCAAGAACAAACATAAGAAAATACTTATCCCCACAGAGGGTGGTACACCTATGTAATGGTCTGCAGTACCAGCCTCAGCTGTGGAATCGAAAACAGTATTGGGCTTCAAAATAGCCCTCGATAAAATGATCAAGAACAATGGAGGCATCCTACACAGGCCACTGGCCTCCTTCCCTTGGCATGGCCACTTCTAGTGGGTGGCTATTAGGTAAATAAGGTAAATGAGGTAAATGATCATACTTGGTACTGTACAGCATATACAGACAATACCTCAAACTGCATGGCAGCAATCATTGCCATATGTAAGTCCCTAAAATAAGCACTTAATTATCCATCAAGTGAAGGCAGTACATGTACTGAGCGGCTACATTTTGTGTACAACTGTATACCTGACAAGATCTGAAGTGGTGATCCTTGTAACATCATCTTATCACTGATGTCAAAAACAAATTTGATCAGTGTTCATGTCTTCCATTCAGCATCAAATACTCTTCAGCTCAGTCACACAAACTGGGGCTCTGGAACTGTGGATTCACCCCTCCTAAACTTGCTGATGATACAAAGTTGCTCAAACCTGAGGTTTGGTTATAAAATGGGTATTAATGTGAAACATCAAATAAATTGTATTAGCATGTACTCTTTTATTGTTTTCTGTACAAACTATTTACAGTGAGTGACAGATATCTGCATAGTAGGGTAAGGTTATTAATTTTTATAGGATAATAAGACAAAAGTAAAATATTCTATGTTATAAACAATAAATGAATTAAACATAAATCCTGTAATATAACTTTAACATCATTTAATCATCAAATTACTCAAAATAACCATAAATTTATCAACTTAGGAAGTAAAATGCCTGCGAGTGTTGGTAATTTTTTACACAGTATTAATTAAATCACTGAATCAGTAATTAATGTTCTTTATAATAAAATTTATACATTAAACAAAGCAGTTTGGTCACTTTTTGTTTATCCCCACAGTAACTTTCTAATAGTGTATAAAATTATAGCTTTATACAAAACATTAAGAAAATAAGATACCACAATTTATCTGCACCTACAATTGTGATCAGTGTCATATTAAAATAGCCTATAAAAGATACAAAAATAGACATCATATATTATTTCGTGGCTATATACAAGTACCTCCCAATATACGAAGGGGTTGTGTTCCTTGGATTCCATTAGTTATGTGAAAACACATATCAAACAGTAGAAGCAATGTATTATTGGGGGTTATGTTCCAGGAAGAGAAAATGTTGGTCAACTGGCAGGTTTTGACACAAACTTCACCATTATGTCTTGTTAAAATAATGATACAGCAAAAATACATTAAAAATGAGAGCGTTGCGCAGTGGAACATTATTATGAAAACTTCAACATTTTCCTTGGACTTCTACGGAGAGCTTTCTCTTCTAATACTGTATCTGAAGTATTCTTTGGTGTAGTATTTGAAGATATGTTATTGGCAGATAAATCCAAATTGTTCCCAGCTACATTTTTGGATGTTACTGATAAAACACTTTGTACTGTTGAGTTTGAACAAACTAACTGCATCCTCCTCTTTGCTCTCTTTGCTCTATGAATCTTTACAGGAATGGTCAATTCATCAATAGATTTAATTAAAGATTCAGACTTATTTATATCTGAAAACAAAGACCTATTTGAAACTTTATGGAACATTTCTGGTGATAAGATTCTCATTTTCTTTCCATCTGGAATTACCTTCTCACTTATGTAACTTGTTGGAGAACGCTGCCGCTTTTGAGAAGAAGCTTCTTTCGCTTTCCCAGCAGTATTTCTTGTTGCTTCAGAAGTAACTGTAGTTGTCTTTTTGGATGGACTTGTATTTCTAGTTGTCCTAGCAGAGGTTTTTGTTGGAGACCTTCCATGTGATGGAGGAACTGAGAGCTGCCCATCAGAATGAACAACTGAAATGACATTCTGAACATTTACACAGGAGAGTTTGCCTTCTGAAGCAATACTAGTTCCAAAATTTGCAAGTTTTCTCCTTCGACGCTGGAAGACAGATTCTATTAAAGGCACAGAGACATTGTCTTTAGATGTTGGGACTGCTTTATGATCCAAGTAAACCACCTGATCACATGATTTAGCCTTTATGTTTACATTGTCATTCACACCTTCCATTGTGTTTTCTGGTACTTTAAATTTGTTATGGTCTTCTTGTAGAATTTCTTGACTTATATTACTACTACTACCTACAGAATTTGCCTTTATGTCACCACCAGTATTATCTAATTCCAAATGGCTAAATTTTGCATTTGAAGTTATAGTCTTAACTTGACCACTCCCCGAGACAACTATATTTTGTGAGCTCATATCTGTAACACCGAGGAGAGGTTGTATAGAGCCATCCATATTTGATATAGTGCTGTCGGCATTAGGACATTCAGGTGTTATCTTCCCAAATTTCTGTATGGTGTCAATGCACAGCATCTTAGGAGTTTTCCTGCAAGATGATTTATTAGGCATTTCCTTGCATGGCACCTTAAGTGGTGTCTTCTTGCAGGGTGTCTTACGAGGAGTTTTTTTACTAGGTGACTTATGAGGAGCTTTCTTAGAAGGTGACTTATAAGCTTTCTTGGGGGACTTGTGAGGTGTTTTTGATAACTTGGAGGGACTTTTCCTACCGTTACAAGGTGATTTTTTTGGAGTCTTACTTAACAGGTGTGGTGACTTGGGTCTTTGTGAGATTGTGATAGGTGATCCATGGGAAGACTTACTCTGCAAAGCCATATCTGACAAATTAGGATCACAGCTTGTTGTGTCACTGCAATTTATCAGAGAGTTTGAATTGAGCTTATTGACAATTTCCTCATGTAAGTCCAAGTTACAGTCAGTGTTATCAAAAAGGTCTGTAATTTCAACTTCTGAGTCAGTATCAGAAGCAGAGGAACAGGAACTGCTACTGCTGCTACTAGCACATTTGCTGCACTCACAGTCACTATCAGAGCCTGAGTTGCTAGAGCTGCTATCATCAATCTCAGAAGCAGTTTTCACCTCAGTGTCCTCAAAATGAGTAATCTCTTCACAAGTACTTGGGGAGGTTGCAGCAACTGACCCTTGTTCATCATATACAATGCCATTTGTAATTTGGGGTTCATATTTGTCAGCTAAGGAGCCATCAACAATGGATTGAGCATTACTGTTTTCCTTTTCGCTTGTAGCCTTAAACTCATCCTCACCACTACTATCATTATTACTGCAATGTTCATCAAGATCTGAACTTTTGTCAGAAGTTTCATGCTTTGTACCAAACTTGTCTATTGCTCCTTCACCAAGCTCACTGGTTACTTGTATACTGTGAGGAGATTCTGAATGTGAAGAACCTTCATAGAGATCATTCCTTTCTTCACCACCCAATAGTCTTATATCATTCTCATCACCATGGAAGCCTGCACTAATGGAAGTAGATACAGGAATACTGTCTGAATTATTTGAATAAAAATTGACTTTGGCAATGGAAGTAAGAATGGAATCAGCATCCTTCACATTACAAGTGGGAGACATTAAAGACAGCTGTGTTCCGGATCTTTTGAGGCATCTTGGTCCTGTAACTTGAGATTTTGTAAGAACATTTGCAGTTTTAAGGGGCAAGTCTTTAGTCCTCATTGAGTCCGTGTTTTCTTCAATATCTCTTACTTCACAGAACAGACCTCTGGACCCAACTGTGTCCTCATCAACTTCCTTCAACTTACCCTTTTTTACTATTGAGCTACCTTTTCCCATTTCATTTTCCCCATTATCTTTACAGGTCATTTCTGATTCATCTGTAATAAACTGCAAAAGAGACATCTCAGAATTATCACTGGAGTCATTATTGTCAGAAGCATATTTTTCATTGTGTCTTTTGACAATCATATCAATTGTGTCATCACTCCCTAATGCTGGGCCTGAAACTAATGAAGTAGAGGTCATCCTGCTAGAGCCAATCTGAACTTTAACAACTTGGAAAAGATCAGTGGGGTAGAACGTAGCTTCATCTTCCACACTGTTTCTCAGGTATTTTGCCTTTTTTGTCCTATTGAGATTTGTCTTCATTTTTTCTGAGGAGTCTGTTGGAGGCTTTATTTTATCTTCCCTTCCAGACACCTTGTCAACATCCTTATCAGCATTAGTATTCATAATTTTGTTCCCATCTTTTTTATCTACATTGCTCTCCTTAAGTTTTGTTGCAATCCTCAATAGTCTTGTAGTTTGCTTCTCTTCCTGAGAAACATGTTGGTCTTCTTTATATTGTGCTTCATCAACCTGCGATGGTCTACTAATCCACTTACTCTCTGGTTTGCAAGTTTTACGTCTTTCTTTCACTAACCTCCAGTGCTTCAGATCTTTCTCCTTAGAGCTAATTTTACTGGACCTTGTTTTAAATTTTGTTGTTTCTGAAATATGTGTTTCTTCCATATCATCATCATCTAATTCTCCTTCCTCTTTTTCATCCCCTTCCTCAGAAAATTTTGAAGGAGACTGGGATAATATGCTTTGCAAAAGTTTAGTGTCAACTGGTATCTTCTTAGTTGAACTACTTTTTGCTACATCCCCAATATCTAAAGTCTTTTTACTATTGTGCTCTACATCTAACTCATCTCCCTCACTAAAACCCCTTCTCTTCTCCACCCTAACATGGCTGCCTCTCTCTAATAAGTTGCTCGAAATATCATTTCTGTGTTTTCTTTCACAAGACATCTTTCTTAGTCTGTTGCTCATCCTTTTGCCCTTCTCCTCCTCCATGGGTAAAGATATGGCTGGTCTGTTAATGCAGCTCTTTACTAATACCCTTCTTCTCTGACTTGGTAATTCTTCTTCCAAGTTTTCTTGCCTTTTTTTTCTTTTATGTCCAACTCTTTCATCTTTACTTAGGGGTGAACAGCCTTTTTGATTCCTGTGTGTTGTTCCTTCATTTTTTTGGCTTTGATGTTTGGTCTCCCTTATTCTGGTTGGACTATTACTTTGTATGTGCTGAGATGCAAAGATTCTCTCAGTTTTTTTATGTATTAACATTAAGGGACCCATAGTTTCTTGTTTCTGGAGGCTACTTCTGTCTGCCTTTTCAGTTCTCTCTCTTTGTCCTCTGGAAATTCTGGTTCTGTGAGATTTTCTTTCCTCTTTAGTCTGTGATGGTTCTTGTGTCATGTTTTTCTTGGACTGTAACTTATTTTCTCTACTCATCAATGGGCTAAGACTTTCTTGAATATGTTTGCTATCAAACTCTTTGCTTGTCCTTCTAATTCTTCCAAGTCTTACAGAATGGCTCTCTCTCTGTGGAGAGCTATCTTTCAGATACTTCCTTGAGGGTGAAGGAGTACTTGTCCATTTCTTATCTAAATTACCTTTTTCATGTTTTGGAGATTTGCTTTGTGATTTATCCTGTGATGTCTTTTCTTTGTGATCATTTTCTTTTTCTCCCAGGGAGGAGGGGATCCTTTTTCGAGAGTTCTCTTCTTTACTCCCAAAACTCAATCTTTCATGAACGCTTTTGCGTTTAACTTTTTTGTGTAGTGGTTCACTAGCATATTCATTTTGCGATGATTCCACTTTTTCTTTCTCATTCCATGAATCACTGTTCTTTGATTTAAAATCACCCTTTATACAGTGTTTGTTTGTGTCTAGAAGCAGAGCTTCAGTATCACCATCCTTACTACCCATTGTTGCACCTTTCTCTCCTGATAAACTGATACATGTGTCATTAGGTTGGTCATTATTTACTTCATTAGTATCATCACATAATTCATCATCATTATCATCACATAATTCATCATCATTATCATCACATAATTCATCATCATCATTATCATCAGTTTCACCATCATACAATAACTCCTCTTCCTGTGGAAATATACTTTCCTCTGTATAGTGAGTACTGTACACACTGTCTTTGCTCTCCTGGCGATTAAACTTCTTGCTACCACCTCCTATTTCTTCTTCATTAGATATAAGTTTTTCTGTTGTACATTTAGCATTAATTTTACTTTCATCTAGCAGGACTTGCTTCTCCTTCCTACAATCAATGTGATCATCTCCCGTTTGTTGAATAGCATCTACACAGCCAGTGTGTCCTGTGATAACTATTGAATCTTTTTCTTTCAACTGATGACTTTCATTACTCTCCGTAAGTCCCTCTTCATCACTTCCAAGTCCCTTCATCTCACTAGCAGAGTCAGGCATTTTTTCCCTTTCTCTACAGCTAGCTTGGTGTAAGGTAATTGGTACATGATTTCTGGTTGTTTCATTACCTCTATCCCTTTGAAACCTCTTATCATTACAACTGTCAAAATTATCACCACCTACACAATGTTCTCTATCTCGGTATGACTCATCACTTGATGAATCACTCTCATCACAGGCAAGATGACCTATTGCCTCGCTTTCCCTGAGTTTTATCTCCTCTCCTATTTTCTGAGAATCATTTAATACTTTTTGCTTTCCCTCACTTACTCCCTGTGAGACAGAAGGGCAAGTCAGTGTTGGTTCTCTTGGTTTCTGGACAGACTTGCTAGTAACACATTCACTAAGATTTACACTGTTTCCTGCAATAGACTTATTGTTTGCTTCAGGTTCGCTGCCATCATTTGCTTCAGATTCTCCACCATCAAGTGAAGAATATTCACTATCCCAATCAATTACTTCCATATCAAGGGCATCACCATCACCCCCTAAGCCCATCATGCCTTTGCTTTGCTCTGTTTCTACTGTTACAGACAATCCATGTGGCTTATTGAAAATGCTCTCAGTGTTCTTATCTACTCTCCTATCTATCTTTGATTTAAGACTTTTTTCTTTTGTATCCGGGACTCGACTTGGTTCTTCTGACCTCTCTTGCCCTCTTTCTTCTTCTTTTAAGTTCCAACGTTTTTCATGTTTCTTTGGTTTTCCCTCTTCCACCTTCTCATGTTCAGATATTACATCTCTTCCTTCCATTCTTAGTTTTTGAATTGTTTGTTCTTTCAGCTTTAGTTTTACAACTTCTCTATTTTCAACTTTTGGGTTTACATACTGTCTTCTTTCCATCTTTGATTTATCACCACTTGCATCTTCCTCCTCTAATTCCAGGTTCATACTTCCTGTCTCCTCTGCCCTTTCGTTTCTCTCTTCCTTTCTTGACTTGCCATCTTTTCTTTCCTTCCATTTGACTACCAGATCACCTTTTCCTTCATTCTCTTTCATACCTTTTCTTTTTTTCTCCTTTGACTTTGTAAGTTTTCTTTCATCCTCTGTTGACTTCTTATAATTTATTTTTTCCTCTTTTGACTCCATACCACTTCTTTCTTCTTGTTTTGACTCCCCAAAGTTTCTTCTGCCTTTTGTCACATCCTTTTGTTTATGTTTATACTTCTTGTTTCTTCTAAAACTCTTCCCCCCCTCATCTTCTGACTCAACTTTCCCTCCTTCCTCCTTTGACATTCTACTTGTATAATTTTCATCTTTAGATTTTCCAATTTCTTCAACATATTCAGCTTCCCCTTCTTTGCAATTTCCTTTGGGCATCCTGCTGTTTCTATCAGATTCCTTTTCCCCCATCACTTGTTCACTTTTTTGCTCTGCACCAGCTGTTCTGTCATTACTCTCATCCTGATTAAAATTTTCATCACTTTTCTTATAACACTTTCCTTGAAGCAAGATCCTTTTGCTTCGTCTACGTAAAGGTGCATCCTCTGTGGGTCCACCTTCCTGTTCCGACTCCTTGGATCTCTCACTTAACATTGTGTGATCAGAGTTGTTCAACACATGGTTTTGCTTGCTAGCTTTAGACAAAACACCGCCTTTCTTTTTCATGTTTGTACTTAATTCTTCTTTAATCTCTGTCGTCTCCTCTGTACATCTCACTATTGCTGATTCATTACTGTTTTCTTCCAAGTTTACCGTCTCTTTATTGTTCTTTTTTACATCTGGTCCAACACTGCTGCTGTTAATAGAGGTCAAAATTGCATCATTACCATTTTTTACAGCTAATCTCTTGCTCTTGTCATTGATCACTTTTTCCATAATTTCACTATTTATTTCTTTTTCTACAATGAGATCTTTTCTTTTATTCTCTCTCATACAATGCTCTTTAACATTTTCTTCCGTTTTGGACTGATTTCCACCCCTCATTTTTGACACTCTGGAACACCCCTCACTATCTGATCTGACTCCATCTAGATCTGCTCTTTCTATATCTGAACCAAACAGAGAAACAAGTCTTCTATCTCCAACAGTATCAGAATGGGAAGTCTTTTCTTTTTTCTTCTGTCTAATCATTATACAGTGCTCATTCTTTCCAACAATTAATTCTCTTTCTTTGAGCTTCTTACTTGGACATACATCTGGACAAAAACTATTACCATTTTCTTCAAAAGTATTACTTAACTTCATTAACTTAGAAATTATAGAGTCTGAACCATAATTCACTGTTGATGACTCTGCTGAAAAGGAACTAACTGAGTGGGCATCATTTGATATCTGTGGTTTCCTCATATTCTCAAGTTTTGCTGCCATTCTCTGACCAAAGAGTGATTTTCTCAACATATCTTCATCGTTTTCTGAGATATCAAAACTGGTATTTGCTTTAAAATTATCAGTCTTGCCCTTTTTCCTGATTTTGAACTGCCTATCAGGTAATTCAAGATCATCTGTATGTGCTAAACACTTAATCCCAGTTGTATCTTTTAATCCAAATTCATTAGTCACATAATTATCAATACTTTCCTTGTGAACATTAAACTGAACATCTCCCTCAACAACATAGTCTTTGTTCATTATCAATGTTTCTCGTGCTTTGTCCTTGGGCTCCTCCTCTTGTACTTTGCTGTGTTGACTACTATTCAGCAAGACTTGTTTAGCAGACAGATGTGTGACTCTGTCATCTACTTCTGCCCTAACCAATCTTCTCTTCTGTTTTTCACACTTATCAATTCCTGTAACATTCTGTTCTGAAGATTTCTCAATGGGGCTCGAACGACGTTTTCTGATCCCTAACCTGGAAAACACACTTCTCTTTTCATCTCTTCTAATACAACCTTCCTCTGGTTTATCATACTCACTTAGATCCTTTGTGTTGTTTTTACTTTTTTGCACCCTTTCTGTGACAGATTTACCTCTCCTCCTAGTCTCCCTGTCTTGCTGATACCTACTGTTCTCTACTGAGGCATGTCTACTTGAGTAACCTCTGTCAGAAGCATTTTGATTTTCTAAATCGATTTCATCCTGCTTCTTGGTATATAATCTTGCCCTCATCCTGCGAACTTTCTCAGCTGAATATGTAATTCTTTCCCCTTGCTTTCCTAACATGTTCCGAAGAGCTTGAGCTTCGCTATCTGATGAAGTATTAACTCGCTCTCCTCTGACACACGATCGAATCCTCCGGGACAAGCTCTCTGTTTTGACTGGTTTTAATTCACCCTTACCACAGACACATTCTTTTTCTTCCTTCTGCAGATTCTGGAACACAGGAAGTTTAAACTGAGACTTTTTAAAATAAAATTATATTCCTACGTGACAGGGAACATACTACAGCAAAGTTGCTGTCTTCTGTCATTGACGGAAAAAATAACTACCCCCTAACTTTCACCAAAATTTGGCTCTTCACTTTGATCTCCGTCTTGCAGCCTGATCTGTCAGTGAGAATATGTTTTTCCCCAGTTTCTCATTATGAATTAATTTAGTCTTGTAATATATACTTATTCATAATTCAGTCTTGTTGTGCACCTGTACCATATCATATTCAGTCTTGTGCATCTTTACCATATCATATTCATGTTGTGCACCTTTACCATATCATATTCAGTCTTGTTGTGCACCTGTACCAAATCATATTCAGTCTTGTTGTGCACCTGTACCTAATAATAATTCAGTCTTGTTTTGCAAATGTACCTGCTCATAAAACAATCTGACTGTTGCAACCATTTAAAACATTTAAGGTGACAATAATTGATCCTGGATATGTGCAGCACTATATTGAAATCATATCTTTAGAAATTTACACAAAACCCTATTAGTTCTCCTATTCTGTTGATTGGTGAATATACTCTGGCCTTGAGGGCAATGTTAGAAGCACTGTGTAAAGCAGCTGCAACAAGTGGTGTTTGGGAGCAGAAACAAAGTAACACCTACATAACAGAGAGGAAACCAACATTATGGTAAAGAAGGGTGGGCCAAGTTTTGCAGGTGGAAAGGGAATGTTATAATGTGCATTCCCAAAAGATGAAAATCATTATAGTTTAATTTAGTTGAAAAAAGAAAAACGAAATATACAAAAAAGTACAGTACAGTACTTTAAATATTCCAAACACATTATAATAATATTGTCAGATAGGATTTTCCACATTGTTGATGAGTCAGAGAACATTCAACAGTAGTGGTATTACTTACACAGTACACCATCACAAAAAGAAACACTAAAACTTATTAAACTACATGATTCAGACTAATCTGACACACATCACATGAACATATAACATACAATCAATGAGATGCTGCTCATATTATAAGATGACATATACCAATAAGTCTCTTTGGGGAGTAAACTGGTGGAATGATGTTATTCTCCAATTAGGGAAATAATACAATGATCTACCTGATGTTTGCCAAGCAACTGTTCTAAATCGTTTGCCAATACAGTAGACCTTTCCCCATTCACTGGTTTACGATTCGCCATTTCGACGATTCGAGGTAAGCAGCTGGTGGCTCAGGTGTCTGGCATGAGAGCCTTTTCCCACAGCACAACGAGTCACCCCACGCACCTGTAGCATCTCATCACGCTCTGTTTGCCCTCACCCAGTACCCGTGACTTAGCATCTAGTGTTATACTCTGAAAACTTTGGTGTTTCTTTGTGAAAATGGCTGTAATAAACAGCAACACCCACACATGTCTGCGCCCATACACCCACATAAACGACCGTTAGAATGTTTATAGCACTTGTCAGACCAGAATGGATGCAATTGGTTACTGCCTCAAGGAAAAACAGATGTAGGCCCATACCATGGACTTAACCAATCAGTGTAACATAACATAAGGTCCTTTGAAAAATAACCCTGCTCTGATTGGAAACTGAGAATGTCTGTTCGGCAGCGAGTATGCAGTGTTAAAAAGACAGACAGTTTACAGTAGCTGCTGAAGTGATAGTGTGTGGAGGTTATTCTGGGTGGCCCTGCAAGCGTCGTACTTAGGCTTGGTAACGTGTACAGTATTTTAATGTTTTCCTGTAGTCGTGCGGGTGTATAGTGAGTACCCTTTCCCCCTCCCCCAAGGTATCTAGTTAATAATAATAATAATAATAATAAACGGTGTATTAATAGAGTTGCAGCCGGTGGCTGAAAATATACAGACTTACATTTGATTTAGAAATAGTTAGAAATAGGACGAATGCATATGACGTCATGTCATGTCTTTGCTGAATAAATTTAACTTGAAGATATCTCTTTCCATTTCTCTTCCAAACTAATACATTAATCTAAATAAAAGGGGGTCCCCCAGTAACAGATGGAGGGTTAACAGAATATATAGAGTCAAGTGACCCATCTTTAATTAACTCCAGTGCAGCCCCGGCTGAAAACAGTACCGTAAGTAGACCAACAACTTATATTATGTGGCCCCAAAAAGACTGCCTAGTGTCAGTGCTAGTGAAGCTAGTGGAGTGAAACATAAAAGGCAGAAGTCAGTGATGACTGTGGCAAAGAAAATTGAATTATTAGACAAGTTAAAGGCAGTTGTTTCGTGTGAACGAATCCACAGTGCGGTATATTAAGAAAAATGAACAAGCAATTCGTGATTCTGTTTAAGCGAGTGCTCCTGCAAGTGCTAAAGTGGCGCAGGCTGTCCGTGACAAGAACATAGTGAAAACTGAGAAAGCACTGAACACTTGGATTGAGGACCAGTACCACAAAAATTTTCCGTTCGACAGCAACGTGATTTATGAAAAGGCTAAAAGTCTTTATGCTCCTTTTTACAACTCAACAGGTGGTGAAGGGGCTAGTGCAGTGACTAAACCAACTTTTAGTGCCAGTAAAGGTTGGTTCGAGAATTTTAAGAAAAGATTCTCGCTCTATAATGTGAAGCTGACCACACAGCTGCAGATGCATTTCCTGCCAAGCTATAGAAAATAATAGAAGAGAAAGGCTATAGTCCAGAGCAAGTGCTTAATGTCGATGAATCTGCTCTATATTGGAAGAAAATGCCTGGTAGAAAGTACATAAACAAGCAGGAGAGGCATGCTTCTGGGTTCAAGGCAGCCAAGGACAGAGTGATGCTCATTTTCTGTGGCAATGCTGCTAGCCACATGGTCAAACCTGGCTTGCTTTACCGCTCAGCAAACCCTTCCATAGAACACAGCTTTAAGATGGTCCGAGGAATCAACCAGATATTGTTTCCCTATCAGGAAATGTTTAAAGACCTCAAAGCCAAGAGGAAACAACAACCAATCACCATGTTTATCAAGAAAGAACCAGCTACTACCGCTGCCGCTCCATCCTCCTCTTCCTCCCCGCCACCTCACCACCCACCTCCCGGCCATGCGCCACCTCCTGGTCGTGTGCCACTCCACCACCACCACCACTGATTTACCCTTCTTCCACCAGTGATCCTGATGATCCACCTATGCTTCAGTAACCAGATGTCTCCTTATGTATAGTGCACCACTTCATCAAGCTCCAGACTTCCACATATGAATGTAAGTACAGTAATGTGACTTAAGTTTCTCATACACAGTATAAAAATACTTGAATATTAGTGCACTAAGGTATTATATTAGTGGCTATTCACGGTTTTGCCAATTCGCATCATTTCTTGGAACCTATCCCTCGCAAATGGCAAGGGTCTACTGTAATTATTTCATCAATTCCTCCACTAACAGAAGCTGATATGATTTTTCAGTATGAAAAGTGGGTGTGAATGACAGGAGTGCAAGGTGTAAATGGTGTTGGGGAGAGAAAGGCTGCTAATAAATGATACCAAGTTGGATGAAGTGAAATGGATGAACCTATACTGTACATACCATGGGTCCTTATAAAGTAAGGGGAACAAAAAATAAATCAGAATACAGTCGGCCCTTAACATACGCGGGTTTAGCATACACGGATTTGCAAATACTGTACGCGGATTGCCCCGCCAGAGGAATATTCTGTACATTGAAGTACATTCAAATCGCGCGCCATTCAACTCGTGCGCGGCACCGAACACGGGACACCGCCCCTCCCGCAACCTCACACACACACGCATAGCTCTCCCTCACTCAGTCAGTCTCGCTGTAACCACGCTTGTGTTGACATCATCATTGTAGTTGCAAAAATATTACATTTCCGTGAATGTATTATATCAAGCACAGTATGAATAGAATATCACTAATATAAGAGTATTTTAACCGAAAACTACTAAAAAAACGAGGTAAAGTCTTTTGTTTTCATGTAGTTTATCCTAATTTACATTGAAATGCATTACGTTTCAGCAAAACTACTATTTATTTCTGAGAATATGGAAATGTAATATTTTGCTGAAATGACGTACGTATTACAGTGGAAAGTGACGAAAGCAATGACTCGCTTTCTTTCGTTCAAAGATGTTACCGTAATTGCTTTTCGAATGGTTTTCAGTTAAAAAACTGTTGTATTACAATAATATTCTATCCTAATTCACTTGTGATGCGACAGTTTTTTAAACTGAAAACCATTCAAAAAGCGATTACGGTAACATCTTTTGAACGAAAGAAAGCGAAAGTCATTGTTTTCGTCACGATTTTATCCCACTTTCCACTGTAATACGTACGTCATTTCAGCAAAAATATTACATTTCCGTGAATGTAGTACATCAAGCACAGTATGAATAGAATATCACTGTAATATAACAGTATTTTAACCGAAAACTATTAAAAAAACGAGAAACATCTCTTGAACATTGGAAGGTTAGGTAAAGTCTTTTGTTTTCGTCATGTATTTTATCCTATTTTACATTGAAATACATCACGTTTCAGCAAAACTACTATTTATTTCTGAGAATATATTCATTCAGGCACAGTTTAGGTAAAATACACATGTGCTGTAACATTTTTTTTAATTGAAAACGATTCGAAAAACACGTACCCTCTAGCCCTGTTCAAGGAGAAGACTGGGAGGAGCTGTTTGGTGCTTAAGACGATGACAAGGAAAATGATTTTGATGGATTTTAATGAAAATATTCAGAAAGACCATGGCACTGTCAAGGAAAGTGGCTGCAAAAGGCTTCCAGGACATGGCAGAGGACGAGATTAGGGAGCTAATTGAAGAGCACGACACTGAGCTGACCGAGGAGGATCTACAGAAGTTAGTAGACTCAGGCAAGGAAGAGGAAGCGAAAGGGGAAGAGGAAGAGCACCAAGAAATAACGTTGGAGAAGTTGGGGGAGATGACCAGGAATATTGAGGCACTGAAAAACCTGGCCTATAGTATGGACCCTTCCATGGTGCGTGCCCTGAAATTCATGCGAGGGACGGATGACGTTTTTGCTCCATACAAAAACATCATGGAAGAAATGAAAGAAAGAGACGACAACTCCCCATCACCATGTTCTTTGATCACTGAAGGAGAGATTTAACACCATCAATCACTGGCGGCAGTGAGGAAGCAGCTGAATCCACCGTCGCCCCCACTTCACCACCCGTTGTGGAAATGAGTGACGGAGAGCCCGATGACCCCCGTCCTGTCGCTGAGGATAGGTACTGTACAGTAAAGTGAAATTTTTATCTCTTTTTTTTTAATAGCTTTTCTTGCCATGTTTATTGTTTGTAAAAATGCACAGCACAGTACAGCTCAGTACTGTACATAGGAAGTGGAGGTGCAGTTATTCATAAAACATTTGTGTTTGTTGTCGGCAGTAGTGACGGTGAGGAGGTGGAGGAGGGAGCGAGTTGGGAGGAGTGGTGACCTTGGACGTGGGAGCAGGGACGAGTGGAGATGCCAGCCAGTACATTACGGGTGTATCAATTGTTTTTATAGCTATTTTTGCATTTTAATATTAAATATTGTACATTACGTTTCAACAAAACTACCATTTATTTCTGAGAACATGGAAATGTAATATTTTTGCTGAAACGATGTACGTATTACAGTGGAAAGTGGGATAAAATTGTGACGAAAGCAATGACTTTCTCTTTCTTTCGTTCAAAAGATGTTACCGTAATCGCTTTTCGAATGGTTTTCAGTTGTGGGATTATAAGGCTAATGATAGGATAGAATATTATTGTAATACAGTACGAGTACAACAGTTTTTTAACTGAAAACCATTCGAAAAGCGATTACAGTAAAATCTTTTGAATAACGAAAGAAAGCGAGTCATTGTTTTTGTCATGATTTTATCCCACTTTCCACTGTAATATGTACGTCATTCCAGCAAAATATTATATTTCCATATTTATTTCTGAGAATACCTATATTCATTCAGTCACAGTTAAGGTAAAATATACTTGTGATGTAATATTTTAATGAAAATACGGTATCGTAGTTTTCTGTTGTTTCAAATTTAATTAACAAAGATTGATGTTTCAAATGTAATGAACAAAAATTTATGTACAGTATCTATAAATAAACTTTAATAAATGAATACTTAGTTTTACATCGTCCTGTGCTACCATACCATGGATTTGGCTACTTTGGGCTTGCTATGATGAAGCAAGAGATCTGCCCTGGCAACTGTACCGACACTCACAGCTGGTGGTGCGTTGGTGCATCGTTTCCATTGTTTACTGGTAGTTACTGGTAAATATTTTTCAACCTAACGTAACTATTACCCGTTTAGAGGTCGACCCCCAATTTTTTGCCAAA